AAAATTGAGATGCCACGCTATTGGTCAAGCCTACCACAGAGGATGGCAAGCAAGGTTCAATCAAGGATGGTTTTAATGTAGCAATAATTAACATAAAAAAATTATTTTAAAGTTGACGTAAATTCCTGACCGTATCTGATAATGTATAGCTACTCGTTAATGTCGTGACTTGTCCAAAACAAAATATTAATAATATTTTGCAGTAATACTAATAATAATAATAGTGTCGTTTTACACAGAGCATTCTTTAATATTTATAACCATAGCAAAAATATTTTGTTGTCATGAAGATCATTACGTTTATGTATTTTAAACATGCATGCGCGCTAGGTGACATCACTCGCACAACAGTCATGGCAACCGCAATTAGGCCAAGTCACTTTGCCACCTGCAGGCAGGCATCTATACATACAAATTTGTTAACTTTTGGCTCGTCTATGGTGGATGACTTCCAAACATGTCATCCACCATAGACGAGCTATGGTGGACGAGCTCGTCTATGGTGGATGACATCAACGTCAATCAACATCAATCAACATGCCGGCCAAAATATTTTTCTACCGGCCAACATAATGTTTAAGATAGACTATCCTGTGTTTACTTGGGTTAATGGGATGTGATGGGTAGCCTGCATGTACAACATCTTGTTAGCAATATTGAGTCTGGAATTCATTTTATTGGCTATTTCAAATATATACCAGACAGTGACGGCTGTTTTAAACTCTGGGTGCTCGGCTCAGACCCTTTTACCAGTATAAAGCCGATTTCAACGGTTACTGCAGCAAGCGTCTGCACGCATGCTCAGCTCATCACTGGAGTGATGTATGCACAGGGTGAAATAAAACTCTGCGCCATTACGATGAACTTGAGGTAAGTTTCAATTTCAAGCATCAACATTTCACGCCAAGCATAGTTTCAATCGAGTTCCCTTAACATCCTATATTAACTCTACATTTCGAACTGTTGCTGATTAAATGTTGATTATTATCGATCCGTTTAAACTTTGTTCATGGTCCTTTGAAATGCTTCCCTCCAGATGAGACGAAAAGAAAGAATTCAGAATTCAATTAAGAATTATTAATTAGGACAACAACATCAAATTCTTTATCATGTCTGAGTAAAGTAACGTTGCAAGTTAGGTAACATTAATATGAAAGTGGCTCCGACTTTTATGGCGCGAACGAAGCTAACATTGACTAGCTGGGCTGTTAGCTCTTCTTTGCAGCTTGGCAAAGAATTAGTTCCTAAGCTAGATACCATTTTTATTGAATGCAATTTACGTGAATAATATTTACGAGCACAGACTTTGATCTGTGGAAGAAAATAATGTGGAACAAAATGGTAGCTGGATTAAGGCCAATTCACACCGCACAGACAAACGGCAACAAACATTGTCCGAGAAAGTATACACATTTTGATCCTGTAGCCATCCCCATGGCATTTATAAGACACCTCTGTAGTTAATTGCCAACAGTGAGCAAATCTGACTAGCCTTCTACATAGATCTTGTACTTGCATATTGTTTGAAATTAACTTCACTGACTTATCAATGCCAAGGGGATAACGTTTTAGGTGTGTTCACTTACTATATATATATTTTTTATATATATATTGCCATATTTTTTTTTCTATTTCCATACATGGGTGTTTGTGTGTATGGGATGTCACAATTATAGATTTGTGTGTTAGGTGTTAGATAATGTTGAGAACCTTGTGAACTGGTGAAATGCTTTCTTATCAAAGTAACTTGCACATGTCTTGATGGACCCTACTTCATGCACTGTGTACAGTTATGCTGGTAGTGGGGTAATGTCATAATGGTTATTGGGATGGGCTTGGACTAAAAAAGGGAAATCATAATGCTTTAGTATAATAATACATTATGGATGGTTATGTACAATGCTAATCTTTTTTCTTTTTTCCTCAGGTAATCTTACTTTTGCTGTTCTATTTAAATAAACACTGCTCTAAGGTAAGAATGGCTGATCAAATGCATTCTTTCAAATCTAATCTGAGACACAAGGCAGTTAAATCAGTGTCTAATTTGCTGCAAGGTATTGAGAACGACAGTAAGCTTCTTGACGATGATCTGACTGATGACCACACTGTACATGACTTAGATGTTGTTTTAAACTGTGACAACAGTAATCACTTGATGTGTGACTGGAACTTTGACAGTGACTGTGATGATAGAGAGGGCCCTTCTGAGCATAGACCTGACCTGGCTGATGATTTAGTCAATTGGGCTTTGGAGTTTAATATCACCATGGCTGCACTTACTGCCTTGTTGTCTATCCTAAAGTTTCACCACCCCAATTTGCCAAGAGATGGGAGGACTCTCCTCAAAACAATCACCGACTACAAAATCCTGCCTGTAGCAGGAGGTGACTTCTTTTACTTTGGCGTATTGAATGCTATAACAGGCCTTCTTGAAAATGTGTGGATGAAACTCCCTAGCAACCACTGCCTACAGTTACAGTTAAACTTTGACTGGCTCCCATTGTTTAAGAGTAATAAGCAGCAGCTGTAGCCCATTCTAAGTTTATTGAAGGAAGTAGGTAAATGTCCCTTCATGATTGGCGTTTTTGGAGGGGATTGCAAACCCAAATCACTCACTGAGTACGTGAGCGACCTGGTGAGTGAGTTGAGTAGTCTTCAGTCTGGGTTTTGGTTCAAAGAAAAGCTGTTTGTTCTGTTGTGTGTGACGCTCCAGCCCAGGCTTTTGTTATGGGCATGAAGAGTCACTCAGGCTATTCAGCTTGTGATAAATGTGTACAGACGGGTGTATATATAAAAAATCGCATGACTTTTCCACAGACTGACTCCGCCTTAAGAACGGATGCTAGTTTCAGGCAAATGTTGGATGAAGATCATCATGTAGCACAGTCTCCTCTGACTGGACTTGGTATCGACGTGGTACTTTATTTTCCTCACGATTACATGTATTTGGTGTGTCTTGGGGTTGTACGTCGGTTGTTTGACCTGTGGTGTAGTGGGCCTTTGCCAACTCGCTTGTCTGGTCAGCTAGTTATCTCAGAACCTACAGGAACTGAAGAATAACATTCCGTGTGTGTTTGCTAGAAAGCCTAGAGCTTTTGAGGAAAGAGGGAGATGGAAGGCTGCGGAGCTACAACAGTTCTTGTTGTATACAGGCCCTGTAGTTCTCGTAGATGTTCTGGCTGCTCCAGTCTACCACAACTTTATGCTGCTGTCGGTTGCTATTTTTATGCTGGCTAATCCTGAGGTGGATGTAGGGATATGTGACTGTGCAAAGACACTACTTGTGACATTTGTTGAACATTTTGGCAGACTTTATGGTGAGAGCTCACTGGTGTACAATTTGCATGGCCTTGTTCATTTGGGCGATGATGTTAAGAGACATGGATGTATTGATGTGATATCTGGGTTCCCTTTTGAGAATTTTCTTGGTGAGGTAAAGCGCATGGTGAGGGGGCAGCTTGTCTGAGCGTACCAATAGCAGTCCATGATGGCCATGTGAAAGCTGGCACTGTATTAAGGAAAGAGCATATTGGTGGCCCCTTACCACAGGGTGTTAGAAGTTTAAAGAGTTGCACATGGATCAATTTTGTGTTAAAATTACAGATAACTGTATTAAAATAGGTAATGACATTGGCTTGCTTCAGAATATCATCTTGCTTGAAGGTAATATGCACTTGGTGTACTATCAGTTCCATGCTGTTGAGCCATTCTACATACAGTATATCCTCTCAGTTCATCTAGCCTGGTTCTCTCACAGTTGTCAAAGACTTTGAAGTGTGTTAAAGTTGATGATGGCCTTCATAAATATGTCCTCCTCCCCTTCAAAGACAATGCCTTTGTTGCCTTCACATTAGGCTTAATTGTTGTGTTGAGAGATTAAGTGTAATTTTTTGAGATATTGTTCTAGCTCGTTACTTATGCCACTGATTACCATTTAGTTAGGAAGGTTTTTCACCTAATTTGTGACTTTGTGTTAGTGTTAGGACCCTGCGCTCTCTTTTCTTGCCTGCTTGGAGGTGGGATGACCTCGGAGGGTGTGGTTGATTGTACACCCCTGCTGACTGATTTCACTGATGGTGGAGAGAATGGACTAATTCATCTCACGTTACTTCCTCTGGTGAACAGCAGTCCAGCATTTTTTTGTTTGTTTTGTAAATCTTTATCAACATTCCTCACCTTTTGAATTATTATTTCTTCTTTATTGTAATAATGGATCATTTTTCACTCTAATAAATAATCTTGCAAGTCAAACAATCTGTGCAAGTGTGATCCTACTTTGTTACGGTCGAGAACGAGCTGGCCGTGACATAAATTGGGTGGCTCGTCCGCGATCCTTTGGTGTAGGAATGTTGGTGAGTATGTGATTATTTTTGTGAATGTTTACCTTTATGAATGAGAGAACTCTGCTTAGTTAGAGTGTATCCAGCTAAGCTGTGTATAAAATCCTTCCGACGGAACACTATTTGTTGTTTTGTTTATTATTTTGCCTTTTTTGTTTTTAAGGGTTATCCTGGGTGGAGAATTAACTCTCTGCAGGGGGTACGCTTTCGGACTTTCAGTTTAACTGATCGTCACGGAGTTCAGCGTTTAATGACGCCCCGAGCCCGGTACACCTTTGAAGACTAAGTAGGAATCGGTTAGTGTTTTTTCGTAGATAGGAGCTGAAGTTTCTCAGAGGTGAACCCATTCTACAAATATTAGTAAATAATTTCGCTTGTGTGAATAGTGCATTCTTCTCCTCCTTTCGTACCTACAATGTGTTTTGACTTTGGAAGTTTTGTGAATAAGTAGGTTACGTAACATGACGTTTCTTCTTTATAGAATGTATCATATCATGGAGTTTGTCAATTCAAAGGAGGTTGAAGTTGTCCACTCTAATTGGCTGAAAGGAGGTGAAAGTTTTGGGCCCCCTTTTGTATCTCTTGCAAAGCTGCGTAGGGCAACTAAAGATGGGGTGATGCCAGGTGCTGACTGGACGCAATTCAAAGTCCGTGTGATGTATTCACATGGTATAACAATGCTTCATTCTCAATTACAGACTTATTGAATTGAAACCTAATTGCACAAGTAACATAAGGAGCCCTTCCATTTAGACCTAATCTGCATTTGTGTTGACAGATGTGTATGAGATTGCCTGTGCAAAGCTGCTAGAGGCAACAATTACCTCTGATCTAAATACTGAAGATGAGGATAACAGGCCAGAGTACATGAAGAGAAAGAATAAGTAGGAGTGGCCCATAATTTCCTTTTATGGCCGTGTCAAAAGTTACAATACACCTGGGCAAACAATTAGGCCTCAAGCTAGAGGGCCTTACAATGCACTCATGACAAAACCAACTTTATAATTTATAACTATAATTTATTATTCACTCCAATGACAAACTGACATCCCAATGTAATCAATGTTAGAGGCTGTAAAAGAATAGTAAGCAGCAGTGAAGAGGAGGAAGAGGAGCAGGAGAGTACTGCTGCACCTCGTGCTCCAACCAAAAAGAAATCTTACACTCCACTTGCACCAGCCCCCTGCATCCCATCTCTTGGTGGTAGGCCTGTTGCAGTTGTTACAGTGGTTTTCCATTAATCTTTTATTAAACATCTGGTTGAAACTAACATAACAGCCAATTGTACCTTTGTGACAGCTCTGGGTGAAGGGAGTCAGCCAGCTGGTCAAGGTTTTTGGTCCCTAGGCCATCTTTCAGAGACCACAGTTGATCCCCCTTCTGATGCAAACAGCTCAGGAACAGGTCCGTGGGCTTCTCCCCTTTCAGCGAACATCACAGGGGCTAGTCCACCACCGTGGTCTCAAGTCTCCACTACCAACAGCCTGAGGGCTACACCTCCTACTGACACCCCAACCCATGCAGCAGCTGGCAGAAGCCATCAAGCCAAACTGGATATCAAGTAAGAAGGGCAAGAAAGCTATTCTATAGCTCATGGAAATGAGTTTGGTATGTGTGTGATGAGATTAAAACATCTTTTTTCTTTTAGAACACCCCGCAAGTACATGACACACAGAACAGGTCTTCTCGGGAGGCTGGGCCTACAGGTAAGAATTCTACAAAGGGATTACTCTGACATATCTACGTACAATGTTTTGCTACTAATCTGCAATGCCTGCTTTTTCTTGTCTTACAGCAATTGCCAAGGAGATCCTCATCCAGCTTGATTCTATAAGAGAGCAGCAGTTGCTCATCCTGGTGCTGCTCCAAAAAATATCCAGCAGTCAAGCAGTTCCAAACTTCACGCCAGACCCAACACATTTTGGGATCCCACTTTCAACTACTGAGGAGCTACAATGTTTGGAGGAGACATTAAAGAATCCAGAGGAGAAGAAGAATCTGGTGAGTTAATTTATACATTAATCAGATCATTCCTAAAAGTGAGTCCCCATTCTCACTCTTAAATAACTAATGAGTCTTTTGTTTCAGACTGAATCTCCTTGGAATGGTCGGAGGCATAAAGACACCGTGGGGAGGGTCCTGAAAAGAGCAATGAACACTTCGCTGGCGAGACTCATAATTGGAGTGGGGCCAACCGAAAGCCTGCATTCAAAGGGCTCATTTTGAAAATTGTGGTTCTGGGTGAGTGTCAGTGATGGATTAACTGCACTGTGGTGACATCCCCAGGGCTCTACAGTGCAACCATTTTTTTTTTTTGCGTCAGTGAAAAAGTATTTAGGAGCACCAGTGCGACTGACCCGATCAGGTTCTATGGGTGCACCCTCAGTTGAAACTAATAACAGCATATTGGCCAAACCGATTTTGCAAACGCGCCAGTGCAAATACGCACTGGAGAGCGTGGAGAGAGATCGTGTTTTTTGCTGGCAATGACACACATATCTGTTGATTTCCTGAGACACAATGGCCAATCAGAGGCTTCAAATCAACTCACCGCTCAAAACGCTGGAGTTTGTTTAGAGTTATGCAAGTTTGCGAATTCTCTCATTATAACAGAGTACAGACACGATGTAAATAAGATATTAATTGTGCAGTGATATATTAAGGGACTTACATTTTAGGAACAGTATAGTCAGATATTTCCTCAATTTCATCAACAAAAATAGTTCAAAACAAAATCACAGCTAAACAGTTGGGCATCTCTGAGCAAACGTATTTAGTTTATGAATGAATTTTTCAAACGAATCTAGTGAGTCAATGATTCAATGACCCATTCATGCAGTCACTTGCTTTGTCACTGAATCATTCAATTGATTTGTTTAAACTGCTGATTCATTCGGGAACAAAGACGGTGACTTGCTTGCCACCTGGTGGTTCTAGTTTAATTTTTAAAGTCTTATTTCAGTTTTAATATTTCTATATTCAAACTCCATTTAAAACATTAACATCATAACATTGTTATCATGAATTTAAATGCACTCATGCCACTTCTGAGCCTCATTAAACAGTCTGTAAATATAACTAAATGCCACCTTTTTGTTATATGCCACCTCTGCAGTGCAAAGATGAATTTTGTTGCTACTGATTTCATTTGATTGAACTTATTCTTCCTGATTGTGTCTTATTATTCTAACTCAATTTATGAATTTGACATAAAAGATGACATTTAATAAGGTTAAAAAAAATGCCCCGGCAAGTCATTTTATAGTCAAATATAAATCTGATGGGAAGGTTAATTTGATCAGAAGGTGCTCCTAAATTTGACTGTGCTCCTAAATTAAAAAGAAATGTAAGTGTAGAGGAGAGCCCTGCATCCAAATTAAGTTTTGGTGGTTGCTGAGTAACATCACATGGTCATGCTGCCCTCTTCTATCTTGTGTTTTTCTCAGATGCAGTCCGCCGGAATGCCCTGACCAAAGTTTCTACAGAAAAGGAAATAGAGCTCCTCATCACCAGGTGGGTGCAGCTAGCCTGTGATAGGGATGGTGGCCGAAGCCAGAGGGCAAACAGGCAGACAACATAGACCAAACTCAAAAACGCAGTGGGATTAAGTGTTTTAAAGTTTAAAATGTTGATATAGGAAAATAGTATTTTGAACTCCTTGATTTTACATTAATGCTGTGGTGATATTATTTCAATATCTGTTATTAAAAAGTGTGTGTGCGAGCGCGCGTATGTGTGTGTGAGCGAGCGTGATGAGCCGACTTTGATGAATGAAGGACACTACTTAAATTACGAGAGGGGAGAGTGAAGTGTGGTTCAATAAAAAAATTTAAACATGAAACTTGTCTTCCTTGTGCTGTTTTATTTTCAGTTTATCTTGCATAAATAACGGCTGCTCAGCTATTTTAGTATTAACCTGACATGAATGAAAAATCAATAAAGTTTAAATAAGCCCAAACAAGGAACAGGATTGGAGTGGAGCTTTACGTCCTTACAGCCGCGTTAAAACCGAGCGCTCACAGAGCAATCGGACCTAGATTCATGCAGAGGACCAGCAGAGTGTTCTAGCCTTAATCGGGCTGACAATTTTTGCAAGCTGGGTACGCACATAGATCCTACGCAGGAGTGTAGTGTGTTGCCGTGTTTTGTGTTGTTTTAGTATTTATTTTAAAGGTTAGCTAACTTGACATTAGCATATTGTGCGGCTAATGTAGCTTGCAGGCTCGGCGACGTTGGACTTACATTGTAATTCCGAGGGACAGTCGAGAGAAACTCTGTAACAGTAAATCTCATTTGAAGCTCACTAACTAACGAGTGTAGCGTTTCGAATGCCTGCAGCTTTTCATGTTGCTTTCTGTAGAAATTTGGTTACAACGTTACTACAGCGCAGTGGTTAGTTGTGGTTGGGGACAGCCCATTCTGCTCTGCACCGGTATGTGTTGGTGTGTGTGTGTTGCTGCGGGATGTAAATTGACTTGATAGACAAGGTAAAAAAAGGTGTGAAAAAGACATGGTCAAACAACTAAAATGAGATTGTGTGGCAATATTGTTGACTAGCACCCAGCAGCTAGCTTGCTCCGACCATAAAGCTGCTGTTAGTGGCTCGCGGTGCAGTAAGGTGATATCCACAGACACTCTTACTCTGCTGTATGGCACCAAATTACTTCATTAATGAAAAATGCGATAATACCGCATGTTGAGCCCCAACATATTACCGCGGGGGAAGTTACTTCACTGTGACAGCCCTACACCATTGTTACTGATTGTACATGTGTTTAGAAGTTATATTTGCTTTATTGGTCAAAAGTTTTCTCTTCATTTCACTGACAGTGGCGGGTCACAATGGACTGTTGTTAAGTAAGTGAGTGAGAGCCCCTCAGCAGGAAATCCTGACCGTATGCTGCTGATCAAGGGATCCTTCCGTCCATCTGCTGTTAATCTGGGAAGTGAACACAGACTGGTGAGTATTAGTTCCACTTGTTGATCAAAACTGTAATCCCAGTGAGCAGTTAGTGGCTTAATTCAGTTGTACACACTAGCAATATGTCTTGGCGCCTCCCTTTGCAGAGCCCAGCCACCACCATCAGGGTTTTCCATCCCTTTCACTTTTTACATCACAAGGCCCCACAGCCTGTGTCCATCAACAAATCTGTGATAAAGTGGAAGACAGCAAGTTACGACCTGTTCAGGCTGCTTTAACTGTTTGAATGACAAGGTTTGACCTGCTGGGCTCTAGATTCATGATGTCTGCCTACAGGCTCAGCTCTGCTCTCAAAAGGATGACCATGCCATAAGCATCTCAATCAAATTTAACGAGGAGGTGAGACAAGTGCAAACCTTTCAGCCTGTAGTCTTCAACAGGTTGCTGATCAGAAAGCCCTTTGGCATATCAGTCCCACTTGACGTTATTGTTGTCCCTGTATTTATGGAGGCAAAGGTTTGGTTGTCTTCACCGGCTTTCATTCACAGCCTTCCTCACCACACATATCATTCAGTGGTTGAACTGATCAGGGATCAGATACAACAGCTGTGTGCGCCTTCTGTAAGTTATGTGTTGAAATCGCTAGAGCCTCTTTTTCTTGTTGCTATGATGAGTCAGAAAGAATGACTCAGATTTCAATTAGTCTCTAATGCATTTTTTCCACCTTGGATACATTTACACTTTAATTATGTTCAGAGTAACAGGATGTCATTTTTCACTTTTGATTGGTTGCCAAGCTTCAAGAGGGCTGGTCTTACGTAATATGAGCTGGTCTGAGGGTATAAGGGGGGTGAGAACACGGGAGAGGGAAACTGCCGAGAGAGCAACTTTTCATCGAAACCATCAACCCATGACGTATTTTGGTTTTTGTTTCTGTTCATCTGCTAATCTTTATTTGTATTACTCTCTATTCTTTTATAACTTGCCTCTGTTTATTCCATATTTATATATTTCTACATTTATTTATGTCAACTGTATGTTCCTCTACATGTAGCACTTTATCTCCAAAGCAAATTCCTCGTACATGTAAAAAAAACCTTTTCAATAAAGCTCTTTCTGATTTCTGATTTCTAACCTAACTTTATTGAAGCCAACACTGATCTCAGTGCACCATTGTGATACCTTGTGGCCTGCTGGTAGCTGGTAAAGCCAAATCATTTTTACCAGTACTACCTGTGCCGTGACACTTTGATATCCAATAACTATCCCATTCGCACAAGACCCATTAAGTTATTATCTGAAAAATGGGGTCAAATGCCAGCCCGTTCTCATCTCAGGGCGTCCAATACCAACGCTTTCAGAAAAAGTGACAAAACATAGTTAGACTCTAAAGGTACCCTTCCGGAAGCGTCCGTATGAGATGCTCTGGGGCGTCCCGCTAGCTAGCTACGTTCGTGTTGAAGGTGTTGACCCTTACCATAACCATCAGAAATGTTAGTACCTAAACCCAAGTCACTGACTTTATGCATGTCAACTGGCTAACCCTACAGCTGCACACATCGGCCGTGCTAACAGGTATGGTTAAATTCATTAGTTATACCTGTGCTTTTTTAATGTGTAAAGTCAAAACAAAAGTGGCTTCCCACCAAGAATGCAAATGATTTTTGTTGGAATATACTGCCAATATGGAGGCCCTGCTGCTGAGGAGTGACACAGGTCTGTGCCGTGATGAGAGAGGTGTTTATCTCTGTGGCACCTATACATCTAATAGAGGTTCATATGATAACTCTAATTACACTCATATATCAACTTGACGGTAGTGATGTTTTATTAATGATCAAATGTTACCCATACAGTTGCACATTTAAAGTGTGTTCAGAGGTCAATGTGAACACAAGTCCAGGGGGCAGAAGAGATTAAAGAAAGGAAAGATATAAATGATCTATCAATCACATCTCTCTTCTTATTTCCTGCTTCCGTAAAATGAATCACAGTCCCAGACACTAAGTTAATTTTCCAATCATTCGCCTCGTGCGTATATGTGTGTGCACTTGTGTTAATTTCTAGCCCATAG